AGATTTCGCAATTAAAATTTTATGAGTTTCGAGCTAGTAAAATATGTGGCATTTGAAGTAATAATAAGCATTTCAAATGTCAAAAAAATTCAATTTGGCGAAAATTAAATATTGCTTAATCTTATTAGAGAAATTGAGATTTATTGTTCATTGAATTAATTAATTCGATATTTTTTACTTAATCTTTTAGCACTATCGAATGATTTCTCATGTCAGTAAGAAAAAATGATATAAAATATGATTCTACGTTGACAATTAATATGGATCATTTACAATTTAGACAGAAGTATAGTTTTTATTGTTTGCAAAGCCTTCAAGCCAAAATAATAACATCTAAAGCCACTACACAATAATGATATAATACATAAATATATCTTTTAAATTGACTTTAAATTATATTTATGTTTTTCAACTTTGGGTGTGAATAAATAAACACTTAAACTTGTATAAAGTTAAATAAATAGACACACATGTCCTACATGTCATCCTACGTGTCATTTTTTGTTTTACGTGATGTCCTACGTGTATTGTGCCATGTAGGACTCATGCGTTTATTTATTTAAAAGTTGGATAGTTAAATGGTCTGTTTTGCATTATGAAAGTTGAAGGTCAAAGTTAAGTTTAGAGTCCAATATATGTGTTATGCCAAACAATAATTATTAATAATGCATTATTTACTAGGTCTAGTTTACCATAGAGTGATTAGTCCATTCAGAATACAAAAGCAAAAAATGTTTATATAAAAACTCAAAAAAACATAATTATATCTTATTAAAAATTATGAACGAAAGTGGATTTTGTTCTAACAAAAATGTTTTTTTTTTTTTAAATGTAGTTTTTCAAATGTTTGTTCATCTATTGGGCCTTGGTCCAAGTAAAATGAGGTTAGAAATAGAGTCACCAACCCAACTTGAGTCCAGTAGCTCAAAGATATACTTCTAGGCCCAGTGGAGGAGGACATCAACACAAGTCACAAAGTAAAGGGCCGGAAAATGTTTTTCAATTTTTTCCACCTGATATCTATCACCTTTCGCGAACAATAGAATAAATTAATTCTATCAATTAAGATTATAAATAGATGGGAAGAAATCGTATGGTGTTTTATCTCTTCTAGAATTTTAAACACGACATCTCAAAATGTTCAAACAACTTTATCGACCACTAGACCACACCTTCGATGCAGTTGATTACAATATTTGGAGAACATATTTTTCTAAAAAGATTGAGTTCTATGAGTGATAGTCCATACCAATTGTGTCATCTTCATCTTCCAACAAACCTCGTCTTTGTTGCTACTCAAAAACCAAAATTGCTAAGTAATATGTATATTTAAGGGAAACTAGTTTTTCATATTTTCTCTAGAAGCTTATAACAAAATATTGTCTTTTGTCTATAATTTCAAATTTAATATTTTTCTTATTTATTCCAAAATATTATTAGTACAAAAATTGTCACTTGACTAGTCAAAGCTTCCCATCAATCTCATACATAAGAATTTTCAAATCTTCTACATGGTGGCTTACATTTTGGAACATTACACATTACTAAATATAACTATTATAATAGTCATAACTAATTAATCACGTTTAATTTTACTATTTTCATCTCTATCTGCATTTTCATTCGCGTATTATTATAATTAAAAGCGAAAACAAGATTTTTAATTTATAATTTTTTATTATTTTTTCTTTTACTAATTAGATTTTGAATAGATTACTAAATATATAGAATAAAATTTTAAATTAAAATTACAATATTTAAACTAAAGATAATGACTTGTATCAAATGCGTAAATTAAAGGCCAACTCCTTCTGGAATGGTACGTTTCTTATTTTATTTTTTAATTTATCTGTTCTTCACGGTATCTCAAATATCATTTGTGAAATTAATCATCTTTAAATTTATATTATTGTGGAGTCTAGAATATACTATTATAATAGTCAAAACCAATTTATCACCATCTTCATTTTCATTCGTATATTATGTATTTAGAAGCGTGATTAAGATTTTTAATTTTTAATTTTTGATTATTTTTTTTTGCTAATTAGATTTTGAAAAGATTATTAATACATATAAAATAAAATTTTAATTGATTACAATGTTTAAACTAAAGTTACTAATTTCTATCAAAATTCGTAAATTAAAGGCTAGCTCCTTCCGCGATGGTATGCTTTTTAATTTATTTTTCTACTTATCTATTCTTCAAAGTTATCAATATATCATTCATGAAACGGAATTATCTTTAAATTTATATAATTGTGGAGTTTAGAATATACTAAAAGTTAGAGGAACAATTGACTTTTTCATTGAATATTGAAAACTTTATTTAATGAATTTTTGTGACTTAATGGAGTAATTATGCGGGTGATAATTATTTAATTTTGACTAATCAGATTATCTAAAACGCCATACAGCCGCACACTTGGACTGTAAATCAACCATAAATTAGAAGTCACGTTTGAAATTATTGTTTACTACTATTATTAATAAAAATTTAGAGGTTAACTTTTAGGCATTTTATAGTTTATATTAAAAACGTGGGAAGCTCCAGCTAGATAATTTATTCAGAGGTTTTTAGTCAAAAGTGTTGAGATTAATATCACAAATGACCAAATGAAATATTTGGTTAGATAATAAGTAATAAAAATTTACTCGCGTTGAGTCAAATATTTACATTAAATAAATAACTATATACATATGTATAGTTTTTTTTGGGGCAACGGATAAAATTTACATACTTTTAAGGTAAATTTATTATCTATTCCTTATAAATTTATAATATAAAAATCTCTCAAACTGATATAATAATATAAGCGTTAATACATTATTCTGATGTGCGAGATACATTAATTGTTAAGTAAGATACATTACATTTTATACATGATACACTAATTTGATGTATATTTTATACATGATACACTAATCTGATGAGCGAGATACATTAATTTGATATGTAAAAATTAAGAATTTTGAAAATTTATAAAACTAATAGGAGATAATGACAATAAGAGAACTTAAATATTGAATTTCTGTCATTTATCCTTTTTTTTCATTCTCTCCTTTTTATTTCATTTAAATTAAGATGTTTTTTTTTCTTTTAACATTTTTTTAATTTTAGCTTTCTACATAATATTCTTCGGATTAGAACTTCAATTTTGTTTTTAACTTTTATAATTTCATATAATTTAAAATTAAATAAATAATTTAAAACGATGAAAGTATAATTTACCTAACCTTGACGTTTTGGTCCCATCAATTAAAACTTATAGCGTAGTTAGTGGGCGCACATCGTTTCGAAGTTTGGAACCATTAGGCGCTAAGGTGGAAATTCACAACTACGGACCACAGTATTTGTGTTTGATAAAATAATTTTTTTTATTTTCAATTTCCATTAATTAATTTTATTTTCAGAAATTAATTTGCGCTAAAGAAATTAATTAATCAAATTCTTGAAATTTAATTTTTGAACAAAAAGTTGCCTCTTTTTCATCAAATTTCATCAAAAGTTACCTCCCTTCCTATTTTTCTCATTTTAGATACGGAAAACGAAATCTTATTTTTACTTAAAGTAGAAAAAATTGTTATTTTTCTTTTTTTTTTTCTTGACATAAGTTTTTCAAGCAAAAACAACGAGTGTCGTGTGATTTATTATGTTTGTTGAGTTCGTTGAAGTTCTAGAGTATTAATTGTCAATATTCGACTATATTATTTCATATTATTGAAAGGAATTATTTCAAAATTGAGCAAGTATAAAGGAATAATGTTTTTTAAGAAATTACATTCTTTTGTGGACTTGAAATTACTTGCTTCTGTTTAGTTTTTTATTGCAAAAATAACATAATACTTTAACAATATGGGAAATAGTCGAACAATAATAAACCATTAAATAAAAGAAAGGATAAAAAGATACGAGTTGCAGATATAGTCAACAAAAAATTCCTATCAAACTTTAGCATATTTATTTTTATTTCATTTCACAAAATATCTAATTTGACTTCAGATACCATTTTCATTACCTAATTCAAAAATTTAAGACACCAACCAATTCAATCATGTGAACTACGTATTCCATAATTTCAACCTACTCAATAGGAACAGCTGAAAATTGAGCTTAAATTGATGAGAACGCTGAATCATTAGGTAGACTTAATTGGACACCACGAGAACAATTCAATCAACGAATGATAGAGTAATAACTATTTCTTCATTTTTAATTATAAAATTTGAATTTAAGTTTTTATTTGTCTTAAATTTTCTTTGTTATAGAATGTTTTACTTTCAATATGAAACTTTTCATGCATATTCAAATTTAATCAGTCTCTAATATGAATATGGTCAAACGATAAGTACACCTCCATTCTTAATTAGTGATCTTGAATTTGAGTTTTCATATGTATGAAGTAGCCTTTGTTACGGAGAGTTTACCTCTACTATGAAACTTTCCAACGAATATCTGAATTTAATCAAACTCCAATATGAATATTAAAAATTATATATGAATTTAAAAATAATAACAACTCAACCAACAAGAGTTACGATAAAGTGATAAGTACTCCTTCATTATCAATCAACTAACAGGTCTTGGGTTTACACTTTCATGTGTATGAAATCCAACTTTATTAACAAACATTTTATCCGTAACATGAATATCGAATACCGAATATGAAAAAAAAAAAGAAGAACAATTCAATGCTACAGTCCTGTCAACAAAGTGCAACCAAATTTATTCTGGACGCGTCAATTCTTATCCTTTATTAATTATTATAATATATAAATAAATATATTTCACTCATACACCTTTATAATTATTTATACGTGTAACGTACATTATTATATAATTCTTATCCGGTGGGCTATTGAATAAGTCCAAAGTCTAAACAAAGACTTAATTTGTCATATTAAAATACTTTTCCTACAAAAAAACTTTTTTTTAAATATAACTAACTCACCCACCATTTATATCTCAAAACAGAGCAAAAACAGAGTAAAACAGAGCAACAATGAAGAACAAAGGGAGTCATGGCCAAAACAGATTTATTCGAATTCTCGCATTACCATGGAAGGCATTAATCAAAGCGCGAGATTGTTACGTAGGTACAATGACGAATTACGCAGTTGTAAATCCTCGGAGTTTACCTAAGAGTTACAGTGTAACATCATCTACGAGGTCTGATAACAGCGAAGATTTTAGAGAACTTGTTAGAGCAGCGTCCGCGAGGAGTATGGGAGAGAATTTTGAGCTGAATTTATTAATACAGCAACAAATTCGACAGCAATTACAGCAACAAACGCCATCAAGGAGAACAGTACCGAGGAGTGTTAGTGTTGGTATGGGAAGAATCGATGAAGATAAGCCATTTGTTTTAGGAGGTCAAGAAGATGATGTTTCGGTTATGTTAATGAAAAATGATTTGAGGTATCCTAGGAGTAGAAGTCATGCTGTTTCAAAGACTAGTAATATTCATGTCTTTTGATCGTAATTTATGTAGCATAATTGGAATTTCGAGAATGAATCTTTCGATTGATTCAAATTTATATTTTGAAATATTTGAAGTTGTTTGATTATTTTATCTGGAAAAACGTAAGAGTTTTGATATCTGAATTTACAATGAAAATCCAAGATAGGTATGAAAATGTATTTTATCTGCGGTTTGATCTTGAATTTGCCTTGAACTTGATGTTGGATTCAAGGGCTTTAAAGTTAGTTGGTTCTTACATCTTTGATGAATTTCAACTTTATTTTGACTTTTACTTGATTTCAAGGGTTTCGAGCTTATTTTTAAATTCGATGGTCTTGATCTTGATAATTCTTGATCGCTTGAATTTTTAAATTTATAGCTTATAGAGAATTTTATGGCGTTCGAAGGACAAACTTTCTCTAACTTCTTGTTTAGGATTTTCATCCCCTTTCTGAATTATGAAAACTCTTATTTATAGTTTTTGAATAGTAAATGAGTTGTGATTAAAACTAAATTCCCTTCGGCCAATCAAATTTACGGAACGACACATGTCATAACCCTATTGACTTCTTTATTTGACTTGACATGCTACGTCATTTGTTATGCTGCACCAAAATGGGCTCTAGTACATTGGACTTAGAAAATTGGGCTCATCAATTTGCAGCCCGAATTAATTAAGGAATTTGAAATTTAATCAAATCTATATTTATTGAACTTAAATAATTAACTAAATTATATTAATTCATAGTATTTATTTTCATTTATATATTTATGAATTTAACATAATTCGAAACACATTGCAGCTGGAGGTGTAATTTGATATCTTTATATGGTCTTAAACCAATTTTCTCTATATGAATTAACTTTTCGAACTAGGTTGAATAGACATGGGCAAAACTATGGCAATAGGGAGGTTTTGGGAAACCAATTTATTGGACAAATCATCACGTGTACCTATATATAGTATTGGAACAGTTTTTTCCCTACTAGTTTATCAATTTTATTATATATGATAATGATATGAGATGATGATTTAATATAACTTTAAGAAATTAAAAAAAAACTATAGAATAGTATGTTGGATGAAAAACATGGAAAAGATACAACTATACTATTATTTGTTTTTACTTGTTGTTGTAGCAGACCATGCAGCAGCTAGTACACAAGTGAAGTTTCTTCCAGGTTTTGAAGGACCACTTCCTTTTCAACTCGAAACTGGGTGAGAAATTGACTACGGATAAATATTATAAACTGTTTAGACGTTGAACTGTTACAATTTTCCGAAAATGTAATAGACTGGTGTTTTTAGGTATGTCGGAGTTGGTGATTCAGAAATTGTGCAATTATTCTATTATTTTATAGAGTCGGAGTCTGATCCAGACTCCGACCCTCTTATGCTTTGGATCACTGGAGGCCCTGGTTGCTCTGCTTTATCTGGCCTTATCTATGAGATAGGTATGTCATATTAACGCGCTCAGGTCACTTATAAGGTAATTACAAATTGTAACACTTCGTTAACCTTTTGAACTATGAATATGAAGGACCAATAACATTTGAACCAGTAGAATACAATGGGAGTTTTCCTAAAATGATACTAAATCCCTACTCATGGACAAAGGTGAAAGCATTTGATTATGAAATTGTACTTTGTAATGAAGCACAAAATTCAATGTAGTGAAAAGTATAATGGAACTTTTAGGTGTCAAGTATTATTTTCTTAGACTTATCGGTGGGAACTGGATTTTCCTATGCAACGACTCTAGCAGCTCGACAATCATCTGATTTACAAGCGAGTGATCATGCATATCAGTTCCTTCGCAAGGTAATTATTTGGTGTTTGTACTTCAGAAGGAAATAACTACGTACGTACCCTGCTAATATGATTTTTGCAGTGGTTTGTCGATCATCCAGAATTCTTAAAGAATCCATTTTATGTTGGTGGAGATTCATATTCAGGCATTGTTGTTCCCATCATTACTCAAATTATAGCAATTAGTAAGACTTCAACAATTGCAAATTATGCTTTGATGTTTTAGTACTATGCTCTCATAGTTTGTTGATAATGCAGAGAATGAAATGGAAGTCGAACTATTTATTAATCTTAAGGTTTGTCCTTTTTCTTACCAACTCATAACGAAGTTGTTAAAGATACACAAAATGGACGACGCTATTATATATCTTCAGGGATATTTACTCGGAAATCCAGTGACTTTTAAAGATCATGAAGACGATTATAAAATTCCATTTGCTTATGGAATGGGACTTATATCTGAAGAACTCTATGAGGTTGGCTTTTCTTTAGGTGTTATATTTGTACACTCTGATTAACTTTACTTACATTTATTGTCTTACTTTTCTGAAACAGTCGTTGAAATCTAGTTGTAAAGGAGAGTATTTCAATATTAATGCAAGCAATGCACCGTGTTTGCAAGATGTTCAAACTTTTAACGAGGTTGGATTGATCTATTTGAAGTAAAATCAACTATGATCAACTTGTTTTATTTGGTATTAAATAAAATATACTGATCTTATATGAATGCAGCTTCTTAAAGGAATTTATAAAGCCCATATTTTGGAGCCCAAATGTAAGCGTTTTTCGCCAAGGCCACACCAATTGTTTGGCGAAAGAAGATCTCTACATCAACTTAACAATCTTCCTGGACTTATAAAATGTCGCGTGAGTATTTGTCTTTCCATCTTCAGTTATCATCTATAAAATGCTGCATTCTTTAGGCTATTGATTCTTGTATCTGCTAAATTGATTACAAGAATTTACAATGTGCAATTGCTTTAGGAAAATTGGTACAAACATTCTTATCATTGGGCTGATGATGATCAAGTTAGAGACGCCCTCAACATCCGAAAGGTATAGATAGATTCACCAGTTATTTTTTTCTTAATGTCAATGTGTAGAATTTAAACTCAGACTAAATATTCATTCGGTAACAGAGGAGTACTGGAAAATGGAAGAGATGTGAAAGTAATTTGCAATACAATAGGATGGTCATGAGTAGCATACCATATCATAAAAACCTCAGTAGTAAAGGTTACAGATCTCTTATATACAGGTTCGCGATAGATATTAATTGTGTTAAAATACAACATTACAATAACTACAAATACAAATAGTCAAAAGTTTTTATGTGTGAAACTAACAAGTTCTCTAATGTTCAATTGAATTGAGCAGTGGAGATCATGACATGATTGTCACTTTTCCATCAACTCAAGCATGGATAAAATCTCTTAACTACTCAATAGTCGATGATTGGCGAGCTTGGACTGTTGACAATCAAGTTGCCCGGTTAGTTTCTGATGAAAGACGTACATTGAAATTCGCATGCCTACATAAGCTAGAAAATTTGTCAGTATATAGATGTTAAACTCTTTTTATTTTTTTGATTGTACGATTTCAGTTACACAAGAAGTTACTCAAATCAGATGACATTTGCAACAGTGAAGGCAAAGAAACTATTCTCTCAATCTATTTTTTTTTCTTTTCTTATCTAGTTAAAAAAATTGGGTTAAAATTGCTTTGTTTATTTTAATAATTTAAACAGGGAGCAGGGCATACTGCACCAGAATATAAACCTCGTGAATGTCTGGCCATGCTCACAAGGTGGATGTCTTACCAGCTTTTGTAATCAACAAATGTATTGTTGTTTGAAGTGTGGGCTCGATCACATTGTTCGTTTCAAGTCAGATAAATAAAGAGGGTTGTCAAGAATCAATTTGAAACAATTTCTCTACCTTATAAAAGTAAGGAATAGGCTGCGTAGATTTTGTTCTCCCCAATCACCTCCAAATGTTTGATAGAGTCAATTGTATTGAATTCAAATTGATAATTTCTATGTTATGTGTACGCACTACTATTTTATCAAATAATTTAAGTTTTTTTTTTAAATTTTTTTATCGGTTTACATGTTATCAATGTAATTTAATCATAGATTAATACTATATTTTTTATATTATCATATTAATCTTGTAATGAAAATTTATTTATTTTAGTAAGTCTACTTAATATGGTAATAATTAATATAAAAAAGGGTAAACAATACAAGTCTTACCAATTTAGCGTCTAATTATGTGCATTTTCACGAGTTTCCAAAATTAGTATTTGTGTCAGATTTCGATCTTTAGATATATGGATATAGAATACACCGATACATACATGTATTCGCTCTCTAGCTTTTCTCCTCTCTCTCCTCGAAATATATTTGTCATCCCTTTTAAGTAAACAACTATTCAAAAAGGAAATGGGGAACTTAATTTAAATCTATATTTTTTTTAAAAATCAAATGTATTAATTATTTAATTATGTTTTGAGAATTAAATATTTATTAGGAGTAAAAGAATATGAAAATGAAAATAAAGAGAGGTGAGTAGGAGAGAGATGGTAAAACAACTAAAAAAGTAAATTGATTATTCAAGTGTCAACTAATCAATGGAGGGTCACACAACTGTTACTGGTTGTGCCTCTAAGATTGTAAATTTATCGGGTCCTTGACTAGTTTGCATCAATTTTAATTATATTTGATATGTGTGAAAAATTAAATTTGATTTTTTGGATTTTGTAAAGTAAATATCTTTTGGTATTTATACTTACAAAAATTGAAATGTTCTAGATAATTAGATATTTATTATAAAGTATATAAATAACTAGATATTTCTGATAGATGTATCTAGAATCATTTCTACAACCATTTCAAATATAAATAGGAGTGACATTAAATATTTATAAACAACATAAAATAAAATAAAAAGACAATGATAGAGTGTTCCGTTGTAACAAAGTTCTTCTATCCAAATTCTTCTTTATGTTAAGTTGAATCTTTTGATATAAATTAACGATCTTAGGTTAACAGAAAATTGTTCGATTATATTTTTCCTCCGCTATTCTCTACTACGTGAAGATTAACTTTTAGAAAATCCTGTTAAATGATAAATATGGCAAAAACAGAGCTATGCTACTGCTTATTTTTATTTCTTGTTGTAGCAGAGCTCGCAGCAGCAACTGGTTCAACAGTGAAGTTTCTTCCTGGTTTTCAGGGACAACTTCCTTTTGAACTTGAAACTGGGTGAGAAATGAACACCGATATTTTTCTCAAAAATTTGTATTGTAAGGACTTTGAATTGTCATAATTTTTCGAAAATTAATCGACTGATGTTTCCAGGTATGTTGGAGTTGGTGATTCAGAAAATGTGCAATTATTCTATTATTTCATAGAGTCGGAGTCTGAGCCAGACTCCGACCCTCTTATGCTTTGGATCACTGGAGGCCCTGGTTGCTCTGCTTTATCTGGCCTTGTCTATGAGATGGGTACGTTATATGAGTTTCATCTTTAATGCGCTCAGGTCACTTACAAGATAATTACGAATAAATGTTTATTAAGTATTAACTTAGATTGTAAAAATTGTGTAACTTATAAGTTGCTTTTTTAACTTTTTGAACAATGAATATGAAGGACCAATAACATTTGAGGCAGTTGAATACAATGGGAGTTTCCCTACAATGATACTAAATCCCTACTCATGGACAAAGGTGAGAGTATTTGATTATGAAATTGTTCGGACAAACCAAGTAACTTCTCCGGATTTGTATTAGAAAGTTGAATAAATATATATGTATATTAACTTGTGAACTCTTAACAAAATTGATTGTCAGTTCAGTGGTATGAAATGGACAGTGAACGCTTTTCACACTAGAGTAGTGGGGTTTGAACCACACTATTTGTTCTAAAATTTAGAACCTCCAACTCTTAATCCTGATTTGCCTCTGATTGTACAATGTAATGTGACAATTCAAAAATGTGAAAATGTATCATGGAATTTTAGGTGTCAAGTATTATTTTCTTAGACTTACCGGTGGGAACTGGATTTTCCTACGCAACAACTCCAGCAGCTTTACAATCATCTGATTTACAAGCGAGCGAGCATGCATATCAGTTCCTTCGCAAGGTAATTATCACTTAGTTTTAGTTACGTGTTTGAACTTCAAAAGGAAATAACTAGTATTCAGCTAATATAATTTTGCAGTGGTTTGTTGATCACCAAGAATTCTTAGAGAATCCATTTTATGTTGGTGGAGATTCATGTTCTGGCATGATTGTTCCCGTCATTACTCAAATCGTAGCAATTAGTAAGACTACACATATTTGCCCTCTAACAATTACAGTTACTTGTTTTGGATTATGCTTTGCTGGTTTAGTACTATGCTTTCACATTTTGTTGGCCTCTTGTGATTATGCAGAGAATGAAATAATGGAAGTCGAACTATTTATTAATCTTAAGGTTTGTCATTTTTCTTACCAACTCATGGTGAATGAATGCCTATTATAACACAACTTCAAATAATTTCAGGGATATTTACTTGGAAATCCAACGACTTTTGAAGGTGAAACCAATTATAGAATTCCATTTGCTTATGGAATGGGACTTATTTCTGATGAACTCTATGAGGTTGGTTTTTCTTTAGGTGTTATATTTGTACACTCTGATTAACTTTACTTACATTGTCTTACTTTTCTGAAACAGTCGTTGAAATCGAATTGTAAAGGAGAGTATTTCAATATGAATGCAAGCAATGTGCCGTGTTTGCAAGATGTTCAAACTTTTAACGAGGTTGGATTGATCTATTTGAAGTAAAATCAAATATGATCAACTTGTTTTATTTGGTATTAAAATATACTGATCTTGTATGAATGCAGCTTCTTAAAGGAATTAATAATCCCCATATTTTGGAGCCCAAATGTAAGCGTTTTTCGCCAAGGCCACACACATTGTTTGGCGAAAGAAGATCTCTACATCAACTTAACAATCTTCGTGGACTTATAAAATGTCGCGTGAGTATTTGTCTTTCCATCTTCAGTTATCATCTATACAATGCTGCATTCTTTAGGCTATTGATTTTTGTCTCTGCTAAATTGATTACAAGAATTTACAATGTGCAATTGCTTTAGGAGAATTGGTACAAACATTCTTATCATTGGGCTGATGATGATCAAGTTAGAGACGCCCTCAACATCCGGAAGGTATAGATTCACTAGTTATTTACTTAATGTCAATGCGTAGAACTTAAACTCAAACTAACATATCCATTCGATAACAGGGGACTATCGGAAAATGGGAGAGATGTGCAAGTAATTTGCAATACCAAATGATGATCACTAATAGCTTACCTTATCATAAGAACCTCAGTAACAAAGGTTACAGATCTCTTATATACAGGTTGAGTTGAAATACTAATAGTGTTTACAATAATATTGGAATAACTATTTGAAACTAACAAGTTCTCTGATGTTTTTATTGAATTGAGCAGTGGAGATCATGACAAACTTGTTACTTTCCAATCAACTCAAGCATGGATCAAATCTCTTAACTACTCTGTTGTCGATGATTGGCGAGCTTGGACTGTTGACAATGAAGTTGCCGGGTTAGTTTTTGATGAAAGACGTATGTTGTGGACACCTTGAAATTCACGTGTCTATATTAGTCTGTGTATAGATGTTAAACTCTTTTTATTTTTTCGATTGTACGATTTCAGCTACACAAGAAGTTACTCAAATCAGATGACATTTGCCACAGTGAAGGCAAGGAAACTATTCTCTCAATCTACTTTTTTTTTTTCAATTTTCTTTTCTTAGTTAAAAAAATTGCTTTGTTAATTTTAATAATTTAACAGGGAGCAGGGCATACTGCACCAGAGTATAAGCCTCGTGAATGTCTAGCCATGCTCACAAGATGGATGTCTCATCAGCCTTTGTAATCAACAAATGTATTACAATTGTTTAATCGTGTGAGATCGCTCACTCATATTATTGGTCTTAAGTTCGAATAAATAAAAAGAAGACTGTCAAGAGTTAATAGAAAACAATTTTCTGTAACTTATAAAGATAGGAAGAAGACTGCGTTAGTACATCTTATCCTTCCAAATACGGAATTAAACAAAATTTACTGTTTGGTCTAAGTTTATATTTATTAATTATTTTTTATTAATGTACGTCAATGTCCAGTCACCTCGAAATGATTGATGAGTCAATTGTATGAATATCGCAAATACTCTATCTGTTTAATAAAGGATGACCTAGTTTGATTTAGAACGAAGTTTAAGAATTTTTTTTTTAATCTTGTAGTTCTAAATCAAAGTTATGTCAAATGTACCAAAATGCTCTTAAATCTTGTGGTCTTAAATATGTCACATGAAAAGTTAAAGTTAAAATTCACCAAAAAAAAATAAATTATTCTTTTTAAAATAAACTAAAAAAAATAAAACATTCTTTTCTAAACGAAAAGAAATTTTTACGGCTTTTTTTTTAATCTTTTATATATATAGTAGGGAGAGATTCAATCTTTCACATGGCTGTCTTTTCGTAATATTAGAAAAGTTCATCTGCAATTTGGTCATTGCCCCTCGTAATTAATGTTTAGAATTACTATATTTGTTATCTTTTCTAAATGGTACCTTTTCTTCACAAAAAAATACTACTATCAATCAACATCTCCACAATGACACTTTGTCATATCGGCTGACGTGTGTATTTTTTTTAAATTATCATGTCTCACCTTTTTTTTATTACATATTTAAAAAATAAAAATAAGTTGATATTAAAATAATTAACAATTTAGTGTACTTATTAATAATAATAATAATAATAATATATATATCACAATAATTAATAATTATTTGACACTTTAAATTTATCAATATCATATAAATTAGGATAAAAAGAGAAACATATAATATTTATATATATTTTAAAATAATATATGTAAAACTATAAATTACAATAATTAACAACTTAAATATTTAAACATTATATAAAAAGTTTGATTGCCTCTTTAAATTCTACTGATACTACATAAACTGAATTAGATGATAAACATATATTGTTTGAAATTGACGAATATAATTATTTATAAAAATATTCGCTCGACTTCAAAAATTCTATTAATTAATGTCACATAAATTGAACATGGGAAGTAACATATATTATTTAAAAATTAAGTTAAATATGTACTATAAAATACAATAATTAACAACTTAATATATTTAAAAGACATAAAAAATGGTTAACTTTTGAGATCCTACATGTGCCACATGAATCAAAATAAGCAATGACACATTTTCATTGTAAGAGAGGAAACAAAAATCTCTAAGGACAAAAATTCAAGATGATTACTAATTGGTGGTATTTGCAATTCATCTTGAACACGTAATGTTCCTTTTGTCTCGTAAGATAAATATAAAAAGCACTCTTAAACTGTGAAATTTTTCTTTAATCTCTTGATTATAATAAAATTCTCAAAGATGAAAATTCAAGAGGATTACAAATTGGTACTTGCAATTCATCTCGAACATGTAATGTCTCTTTCGTCTAGTAAGACAAATATATAAAGAATTCTTAAATTGTGAAGTTTTACTTTAATCTCTTGATTATTGATAGTCTTAAAATACTCTTTTATTTGATTAAATAATTTTAAAACACCCTTTAATATATATATATATATATATATAATAAAATAAAATAAGAAAAAACATTTAAACAATTATACACTAAAATTTAACAATTAAAGAAGAGAAGAACTTCAATAAGTAAAAGAAAATGGTACTAAAATTAAAATTAGTTTTAAAATATAATATCTCTTCCGTAAAAAAAATAATATATTTTTTATTCTTTTAAAAAAGAATGATTTTCTTTTTATAATAACTTTTTATGTGACATGTTTAAGACCACAAGATATTAAAGGATAATTTTGTACATTTAACATAATTTTAATTTAGAATCATATATTTAAAAGTTTTATTTATTTTCTTAAACTCCGTATTAAGTTATATTACACCATTTCTCTGTAAAACGGAAGGAGAATAATATTTTGTTCTTACTTCTTACCAATGATTTTTTTTGGGGGGATGAGTGGGTAGTGAGGTGAGGGGTTGGGGTACAGGGTAGGGTGGGATAAAATAATTAGAAATTATTCTTTTAAAAAGAAAAAAAAGGTTTTCTTATGATTTTTTTGGGGGGATGAGTGGGTAGTGAGGTGTGGGGTTGGGGTACAGGGTAGGGTGGGATAAAATAATTAGAAATTATTCTTTTAAAAAGAAAAAAAAGGTTTTCTTAAATTATTAAATTCTTATAATTTAACTATTAAGTACTTTTTAAATATTTATTTTATTATATATATTTATGTGTATGTCGTATCAATAGAAAATACCGCATATATGTTTGGGTGGATCAGATGTGACATAAAAAATGAGTGTTTTAAAATTGTTAGTAGTTAAAAGATTAAAGTAATAATTAACGTCAAATTAAAAAGTGTTTTTTTTCCTCAAATTTAGATAATACTATTTCTTTTTACTTTGTTTTAAAAAATATAAGTAATTTAACTTTATGTTTTTATAATTTATACTTAAGATGTGCTTGATATTAAGAAACATATCTTTTTAATCTTTTCGTGTTCTAATCAAAATTTTATTTTTAATTTATTTTTATTTTTTAAAAAAAAA